TTTTGACGACTCTTTTAGAAAATGATAACATTGATAAATTTCATTAAAAATAATGGCAATGTATTGAAATTATATTTAAGAAGTAATATTAAAGTTAAGCATTTTTATTTTTCTCTGTCATATTATAAATTCCATTTTGGCCACTTATTATACAATATTTTGAATCTGAAAAATAAGGAAGGTATAATGCTATAGCAGTGCAATTTATGAAACAGTTCTTAGCAATAGCAAGATAGCTATGTAATTAATAAAAAATGTCTTTTTATTTTTTCATGGTAAGAGTTTTCCCATGTAATTATCTCAGAATATGCATCAGTTTTCTCTATAAAATTAATTTTACACTTTTTTCTTCCATTTTTTGTTTTTCAAAATATTTCTGGCTTTATGCTGTTATAGAATTGGTAGGGGTAATTTTTCTTTAGGATTTTCAATGTATTGAAATTATATTTAAGAAGTAATATTAAAGTTAAGCATTTTTATTTTTCTCTGTCATATTATAAATTCCATTTTGGCCACTTATTATACAATATTTTGAATCTGAAAAATAAGGAAGGTATAATGCTATAGCAGTGCAATTTATGAAACAGTTCTTAGCAATAGCAAGATAGCTATGTAATTAATAAAAAATGTCTTTTTAATTTTTTCATGGTAAGAGTTTTCCCATGTAATTATCTCAGAATATGCATCAGTTTTCTCTATAAAATTAATTTTACACTTTTTTCTTCCATTTTTTGTTTTTCAAAATATTTCTGGCTTTATGCTGTTATAGAATTGGTAGGGGTAATTTTTCTTTAGGATTTTAGACATTGCAGCCTGGAAAGTTTAGAAAGATTTGAAGGCCACGATTTTAGAAGATTCCAGAAAAATGTGACAAAAGGGAAAATGTCTTCATGGTGTATTAACATGTAATTTCTTACTTTTTGGAGAACGTCTGGAAGAACAATGAAAACATAATACTTGAATGTTTTACTTCTGATACTAGAATTTTTTCCGTAACATTTTTATCTTCCCTTTATTTTCTCTACTTTTCACTAGACACAAGCATGGAAAATATAAAAAATGCTTCTAATCTTATCATATGGACAGGCATTATAGAAAGGAAGTTTTTTATTAATAAAGAAATTGAAATCTGACAATTTAAAAGATTCGTCTAATATGTCTTAATTCATCATGCACAGGGTGGCACTAAACATTTTCCCACCTGATGGAATCTCTGTGGATCCTAAATTCTGCTGCTTGGTGCCTTTCTAAATTCTGCCTCCAATGCCTGCTCTACATTCTAAATGTTTTACCGTTTCTAGATTTTGTTGCTCGGTGTGTCACTAAATTCTAAAAATTTGCCACACCAGCTCTGTAACCTTACCTTACCATATATATTTCATATTTCTTCTGAATTTTCATGTTAAAAGAGAAATAAAATTAGCAGCTTTTTCTTTACTTTCTAAATTTTACTAAAATAAAGTTTTTTTAGAATAACAGAAATCTTTTAATTAAATCCAAAAAATTCTAAAATGAAAAGGAAATGTGGAAGAAAGAAACCGAATGCATAAAGAGAAAGAAGATTATTCTTCAAAGATGTGTACAGTTATTATTATGTAAATTACCCAGTTGTTTACAATTTCAGCCTTTACTATAATTTCCCATTTCTATTTTCTCACCAGAATACAAATCAGATTTCGGAGTACACAAGTAAAATTTAGTAAAGATAGACTTATTGTTTTAATTCTGTGGGTGTGCTCAAAGTGGCACATTAATTCAATAGAGCTTCGAAAAGAGTGCTGAAACAAGCATTGCTATCAATGAACTGACCGATGAGATACGGAGAAACAAAGAATACAGACTCTCAGTTGTCCTAGATTATCGGTGAGCCCGGTCTGGGCACACCTAGTGCTTGCCGTTTGATTTTAGGCAAGATTTCAAGGTAAAAATTTAAAACTAATATAGAATAAGGAGATAAGCATACAGCCAAAAAAATAACATAGAAATTTGTTTTCAAACAATTCCTTTTATACCGTAAAAAAAAAAAAAAAAAAAAAAAAAAAAACCTGGAAGATTTATTTGAAAAATGAGGGTCTTGAAAAACTAAAATATATGGACTGGTTTGTGTTGAGCTGCCATCTGCTATAAATAAAGGAGGTTCAGAGTAACCTATAAATTCTTTTTTATTCAATTTTTCTGTGCATACAGAAGGAAATTTTTAGGTGTGTCCAGACCGGACACACTGTGCCACAAAGGGTTAAACAAAAAATTGGAAATTTAGATTAAAAAAAGTCAGGCAGCAAGTAACAGCTCTCTTATGCTTCCAGCAAGTTGAATACTAAGAACTATCAAGTTTTATTGTTTGATAAATCCAGAAATCCTAGCACTTCAGAGGTTTTAAAACAGTATGGATTATTGCAAAATGTTTTTAGGAGTGATTGTGTTGTTCCCTTAGATGGATAGTAAGTAAAATGAAGAAGAGTCATTATTATAAATGACATTTGAAATCAAGGATTCAAACTCTGTAATTATAAAATATTTACTTTTTATTATATTACATCCATTTAGCATTCCAGTTAAGGGATTGATTCCTGTAAGTTTCAAATGCAGTTGTAGAAAATTGTTTTTGAGATGCAATTTTTTTTTTCTTTTACTAGAAAAAGGTAAAATTTATGCAGTGAATGTCTTTTTTTTTACAGGGTTCGTACCGGTCCTTATAAGTACTTATAAGTCCTTATATTTGAAAATAAAATATAAAGTTTACTTACTTTTTCTTTAAAGCCCTTATTTTTGTGTTTTTAGTGCTTATTTTTTGCTTTTAGTGCTTTTTTTTAAATGAACGCGCAGTTTTCCCTTGTACCAAAGCCGAAACTAAACAAACAACTTTTCTTCCTAATATGGAATGTCAGATGGTGAATCATACTCCCGGATATAGCTTTCCCCCTTTCTCTGCATTAACATAACCTTTGGTGTGCGCGGAGAGTACAGACAGGTGCCCGTCATTCTGTTGGTCAAAGAATTGCGAAAGCAGTAGAAAATTCCGGTACATTCGGCATTCTTTTCCTCCCACCCAAATACTACCCATGTTCGAATTTCTATCAAGATCTTGATAATTTGCATTCTTGTTCCGCTTGGTCAGTTCATATTCGTGTTTCTTATGATCGTTATGCTTATATTATGAGCATATGTATGAATGTTTATAATAACATAGTTGTAGTAACTGCTGAAGTGTAGTAAACTTCCAAAAATGGTTGTGTTTTAACACAGATTAGCTTTCTAATTAATAATATTCGGAATGGCTTAAATAAAGGGAAAGTAATTGAATAGTCAAAATAATTTCATTTTTTTAGCCAATACATTATACAGTACGAAGGTTGGGAGGTTCTCCCCTCTCTCCGCGAAAATCTCGAATATTGAAACTGTTACAGTTCGCTGCAAAACAAGCAAAGGACTCTTTTTTTTTTTTTTTTTCTTTTTTTTTTGTCACTTTCCAATCTGGATTGAATAGGACTAAAATTTCTGCGGTCTACCAACCCGAAGAATAAAGCGTTAAAACTCAGTCTTGAATAAAAAGACTGCGTTAAAACGCAAAGAACGTTATACTGCGTTCAAAGAACGTTACGAAATTTAACTGCGTTAAAATGCAGTCTGTTGAAAATTAGAATGAAAAACACTCCAGATTGGTAAGTCTCTTTCTTTTCCTTTATTTAGTTCTTTATTCTCCCAATACCGGCAGCTGTTGAATCCGATTGCGTAATATCATGTAGGGAAGAATTACGGCGCACGTATTACGCAAGAATGTTTGCGATATTTTGCAGAGATAATTAATTTTGATGTTCGGTCCCAGATTTGTTTATGAACACTTAAAAGAGTTTTACTGTCCTTGCTAAGCAGAATATTTTTCTGTTCCGTTGGTTTGTTTTTATATGATGCACATATCGAAATGTCAAAAGCATTTATTTAGCGGAAAAATCTAAAGAACGGCTACAGTCTATCCCCCTCCCCTCCGCTCCTCTTTTTCAAGTTACGCTCGACTGTCCGAATATTCGCCAATTTTCAAGTATGCGGGTAGTTAAGCTTTTACTGTTAAAGGATGACTGCATGAAGCAAATTTCTGTCTTCTGATTTCAGAAATGTTCCTCTTTTTTACTTAAATTACTTTGCTTGCAATATCTGTTAAGGAAAAACTGATATACGATGAAAATTTAGAAAATGTTCAGAATTTAGATTTAAATTAGTTAAATATCGATATGAGTGGAAAAATAAATTGTATTTATTATTAAGTTCCAAGCGAATAGAATAAATATACCTTATTATTATTTATTTCTTCTATTTTGATTTGAAATTTCATCATTAAATCTTGTAATATAGTTTAGTTCTGCATAGTTTTTTTCCCTCATTGTAAACTAGTTCTGCAAATTGAACTGTTATTTAAAATTTTAAAAAAAGTAATTATTTTCCAAGGTTGAGTAATGCTTATTCTTTCTTAATAAATACTGCATTTCTCATATTTTAAATTACAAGTCTAATTTTTGAAGTTATGCAGTTATGTATAATGTAATTAGACAGGTCCTTATTTTTTTTCTTAAAATGTGCTTGAAAAGTGCTTATAGGTGCTTATTTGTTTAACTAAAATGTGGCTATGAACCCTGTTTTAAAGCTGCACATAATTAAAATAAAATTGCTTAAACAGAAATTGCATAAAATCCCATTAAAATTTTTTTCTGTATTTTGTATTTTAAAATCTTTATTTTTCACGCATTTGTTGAGAGGATTAAACCCATTTTTGCATCTGTAATTACTTGTTAATAAATCCTTTTTTTCCCCTATAGGATGTGGAGGATTATTATAATAACTCTGTATGACATATTCTAATCTTGTTGAAGGTCACAGTTAAACTGACAGGAGATGTAACTTTGCTGCCAATTGCTTATTTGAGTTATTAAGATTAGCAGAAAATCATATTAATGATGTTCCTAATTATTTACGAATACTGACAAAAGAAATTTTTTACTTCTTAGAGAATAGGTTACCTTGCAGCATCTCAAAGCTTCCATGAGGAGACTGAAGTTCTAATGCTAACAACGAACATGATAAGAAAAGTACGTGTTTTGAAATGGCTTTCAGCAGTTTACTAATTAATGTATTTTTAAAAATTATTTTGGTATAAAATTTAAACTATTTTTTGTTGAGATAATATTGTTTAAATACAGTATGGTTTATTTTTATAAATTCATGAATTATATTTCCAAATCTGCAAATGTTTCTTGATTTTTTTTAATAGAATCTGATTTAATATTAAAAAAAAATGTTAAACGTTTTTAGCTTTTATAGTTTTTTTTTTTCATTTTAAATAATGTTTGTCTTGTTATACTCATGGATTATAGAAATATTAATCATTTTATTTAGTCAAGACCAGTGAATTTTTTGCTAACGACTATTCCTCTGTTTTGCTCTTAAAACTTTTATACATCTTATTTTTGATAGCATTATTAGTTTAAGGTTTTAGTGGAATCAGTATAATTAATTTTCAGTGTTTGAGCGTACTAAAATGGATTTTTATTTATATTGCTTGTAGATGGTACAAATGCAGCATTTAAGGTTTTTTTTATTTATAAAATTAATAAACTAAGCGTGAACTGTCTTTTAAGTAGTCTAAATTAATTGAGTCACTCAAAAATCATTAATTTGACTGTGAAAAGCTTATAAACTTTGCAGTATGACTTTTCATATTATGCTCTGGCCCTTAGAGTAATGTAATAAAAATGTGATGATATGACATTACAACAACCTTTATCAACTGTAATTAAGTAGCTTTGTGATAGTGATAGACAGTAGAGAAAGTAGAAGCAGTACAAAATATGAATGACTAAAAATGGACACTCTAGAAAATTAGCGGATGCCTCTTATGTCATCATTACATCTTTCACAAAATGTTGTTATGCATTTTATATGTACTTTTAGAGCAATTGAAATTTATACTGCTTTAGGGCTAGAGAATTATTTTTCCTTAACAGTAGATTAATAGATGTGTATCTTGTCAGCCCTCTAGATTTTTGCTGTTGTAGGAGTCGGGGGAAAAAATTATTTGTAGTGCAACCCACTGAATTATCCCAATTAGCTAATGAGCTTGTACTATGAGTTTTTGTACCTTCCATTTCCTGTTGCCAAAATAGTCTGTTGATAAAATACTCATTTTTTCTTTCGGATACTACTACTGTGCTGTGTTGCAATTTGCATTTTTCAGGTATATTCTGCAAACTGAAATACAGTAGAACCTGAATCAATCATGTTAAATTTTTGGCCCAAAATGTAGTTTTACATAAATGACAGTATTTATTCCATCTGTGATTTTCCAAATTATCATTTTACCTTATTTAATATTTTTATATGATGCTTTCTGTACAGAATTTACTGTATTGATTGTTTTGGGGGGAAAATTAAGTGACAACACATTAATTATATGCATTACCTTCTCTGGACTTATTAATCTGGCATCGTAAGTAATGAGGTTATGTTTTTGTATATGGTACTCAGCTCCAAATCTGAGCTTTTAGTGTCATTTCTGAATGCTATTTTTTTTTTTGTAACACTAAGTGTATTTCTGTGAATCTTTGTGTCTTCAAAAGAATGTGGGAAAGAAGGTGCTGAAGATATCCAAGACAGACGCCAAGCTTCACCTAGAACAATTTTACAAAACGTTCGAGCATTTATTCATGTATAAAATGGAAGTGGCGATTGACAGAATAGAATGCACAGTTTTAAGTCTGAAAAATTCATATTTTGAGTTGGGACAAAATTCAGGCAAAATGCAAAGGAAAATATACTAAATTTTTTGTAAAAGTTTCATAATGTAGTGTACTTATGCTGAAAGCAATAAATGTTATTTATGTCATGTTACTTATTTATAGTCTGCAATAGTTTTTTAGTTCAGTTACTTACCTCATTCATTGTTTTCCTTCATTCCTTTGAAAAAACTGTAGATTGAGATTCCACTGTGTTAATTGTGTGTTTGTATATTGAATGCAAATATGAATTGTAACTTAACATTTTGGTGTGACACAGTACAGGATGATAGAATTTCATACTGGAAGATAGAATTTCTTACTGGAAGAAAGCTTTCCTGAAGATTTCTTTATTATTTTGTTATAAAGGTTTTCAAAATGTAAAATTTGTTGCTGTTGTAAGGTATATTTTTGCTTTAAATTATTTTTCTGAAACTAAACTATTCTTGGTTAATGTAGTATGGTATTAACCCGTTAACTGCCGCAGAAAACATACAAGATTCATTTTCCAGTGCCACGATTTTTCACACAGGCACGCGTAGTTATGTGATGTATTAGGAGGAAAATAAGTGCAAGTTTTACTTTCTAAAAACTGTAACTTTCACAAAATAAAGAATGAAAGAAAAAATAAATGCACAAAATTTAATGTTTTGAGTAAAAGTATAATAAAAAAAATTTAAGTATAATAAAAAAGATCCCTAAAATGGAGTTTCAATCAATTCATTTTTAGAACAGTAAAGTGTAATACCAGGTTTCAGTGTTATACCTTGTGAAATCAGTATGCTTAAAAAAACATATATTTCTTCTGAACTGGTTGAATGCCACGATTTTGTTCTTGATTTTTTGTTTGCAAGGTGTTGGTTCATATACTTGTCTACAAAACGGTTAGTTTCAGTAACAATATGAAGCACGAGCAGTTCATCAAAAAAGATAAAATGGGTTTGAAACATCCGTTATATCTTTATTCCTGGAACCTACTACAAAAATTAAAAGAAAATGGAGGACACAGAATGAAAGAAATGCATTTTACTCAAACACCACCAGCCAATAGCATGCAGTCATTACTCACCGCTTTAGACATACCCCTCTCTCCAATTTCTCCCCACACTTTTCTGAAATAGTATTCTCCTTCACATACATTGTCAAGGTCATTGTGGTGTTGCATTCCAAAGCTTTGCGGATAATTTTATGGGTAGCAGCGTAAAGCAAATGATAGTAGTTTGGAAGGGCGTAGGGACAGTTAATGCATCGGCTGAGCAAGGCGTATATATATGCCCGTGGCAGTTAAGGGGTTAATGGAATTCTACAAATTAATAGATCAGTCTGTTGTAATTAAAAAATTAAATGTCTGAAAAAATGTATTTCAGATATGTTTCAAAGTTACATCTAGCAAGAAAATGACATTTTGAATAACCTGTAATATTGCTAAATAAAAATATAGTAGAAAAGTAAGTATGGTTGGTAATACATTGAAATCTTAATCTGTAAAATTGTGGCTTTGGGAAAATCGGTTATGTTTGGCATTTGGGGAAAAAATGAGTTGTGAATTTTAAATGTTAATTCTTTTACTGTCATCTCAGAAGAGATGAACATAGAGAATCTGTCATTAAAGAATCTCTCTTATCTTGCAGCAGAGCACTAAAAATTTCCCAGTAAATGCATTTAGGTGAAAATAATGGATAAATACAGATTTGGGGTTTTGCTGTGAAACTGATGATATTTAGATTTATTTAGACATATAAGTAATCTTCACATCCAATTAAAATCTCAAAAATTCTTAACTTAAACATTTTATATACTGTAGTATTTTTAATGACTTTTGTGGACAAACTGTTTATTTTTCAGCCTTCTGTATGCTATGTTTTAAAAAGTTCAAGTTTACTATACTAAGTACTGTTTTTTTTAAATATGAAAACTTCTTTCCATTGCTGTCCTCTATAATATTCATAGCTTAAAATGCTTTACGTTGTAAGTAATGTGTCATTTACAAGATAAAGTATTTTAAGACATCAACTTTATATATTTAATAATTGGCAATGTCTATCACTAATGCAACATTAATAAGTTGCACTAGAGTTTTCTTTTTCATGTAACAAATTTGGCATAATTTTGTTATTTAATTTTTTTATTACACATTAATTTATATATTTGTATATTAGTGTGTCATATATGATTTCAAATGGTTAAAAACAAAATCCATTGGGGTGAAAAATGCTTTGAAATATTTTGCTACTTTAAAATCTATACAGGTTACAGGTTTAAGGTTAAGGTTCTATGAGTATGACAAAGTACGTGAGGGTTATTTGCATATGGATAACAGGGAAAACTGTTGCTAGGAATATATATTTATTGCAACCAGAAAAACTGAACTCGTAGGAAATGTTTCTAAAATACAAACTTATATTCTCACTTGAATGCTTCTCTGGTTGTATTTCAGGTAAGGAGAAGCAAGTGATTTTTGTTGTGCCCCCCCTTTTTTTTATTCTTCTGACACCAGTTGTTACGTTATTTTCTTCCTTCACATTCGTACGGGGTTGATAGATTTGGAGTGAATAATGACGACACTTGATGAAGTATTGAAACACACTTTATTTAGACAATATTGTCAGGACAGCTCCAAAACACGTTTTACAGTCGTCGATGAACTACTATAAACATGCTGACATGATCAGCGACACAGCCTTCAGGTTATCAGGCTATAACGGTGGAGACAGCTTCCTGCAAAGCACCCGACTCTGCTTTCCGGAGTACAGCTCCCGACTCTGCTTGGTCGTTCTCGGAACTCCACGTACTCTCGAGACTCTCCATGCTACAACTCGCGATGCACTTGATGACACACAGAGCACAGATCCTGACTCTCGGTTCAGTCGTTTCCGGAGCTCAACACGCTCTCTCGACGATACACTAACCGCGATACTCTACGAGACTCTTTTGGTGCACTCAACGACCCGCTCGGCACTCGCCGGCCGGCTGACAATGCGATCGCCTCCGCAGGGACTGACTCGCTAGACGAGACACACTCACCCTGACTGCTGTCCAGCTGGGTTTATATAGCTTTCGGCTTGTGTTCGAGAACATTTTCGGCTAAACCGGTAAGAATTCGTTCCAGAAGGTTCTCTATCCATCCATGGGATGTTGCCAATTTTGTCGCCAAATGTTGCCAAATGGGTGATTTCTTGCCAAATATGGCAACCCTGCCTTCCCTTGCCACTGCTCTGTGGGGAAGCCATCTCACCACGCCTGTACATTTCGTAACAATATTTAAATCAAATCACAATCAATTGCAGATAGAAAATTTCACAAATTATTTGGGAAGT